ATCCATTCCGCTCCGATCCGTTCCGCCCCGATCCGTTCCGCTCAGCTGCGCTCCAGACCGCCTGCGCAAAGGAAAGCCTACAGCCTCGGCTGTTCCTCCCGTCTTACTCCGCTCCAACTTCCTCGTAGCTCGAGGAAAGCATGTGCGATGTTAATATTAAATTCAAAGGAGCAAAAATGCTGTAATGAACGCTTGTAATCAACACACATAGGGCGCACCGCACCAAAGGGCGTGCCGCACATTTTGAGGGAAAAAAAAGACGTTTATATGCGCCTTATAGTCGTGAAAATACGGTAATTTAATTTGACATATTAAAAAAATCTCCATCATCACCCAGCATAGGTTCAGTTTCTGCCCAAATATTTTCTTTTCGTTGTAGATTTTTGTAACGGGGATAACTAGGATCATACATGGTTTGTATGAACTATGGTTATTCTCTACTTCCAAACTCGGCATCTCTTCATCCATGCCTGCGATAAAAGTTTGCGCTCTTGGATGTTGTTGTGACTGAATTTGATTATACTTTTATGCCTCTCAGTATAAAATTAATATTTGTATGTTGAAGTACCAATAGTTGGCATCCAATCATTTAATTAAATGATCTTAGTTTTGGGGAATATATAGGAATTTTGCTCTAATTTGTAGTTACCGTTCTGTCATTCCCATATTTTAATTAGTTAAACTGGATGTTCCCGCCGTTCTTTTTCCTGTTTGTTGCGATTGCAATTACGGATCCTGACCTGGCCGGACCAGAGCGGAGCAAAAAATAGCACGGCTCCATATTTTGAGGGCGACGGACGGAGAAGACGTACGTGGACGGTGACGTACAGAGGAGAAGCGGTGGATGTGGAACAGTTCTCATTGATTAAAGGTATACTATGCAACCGGTGTTGATTTTCCAGCGAGGCTCCCCCCAGAGGGCGAAAGTAAAAGTGCGCTGTCGTAAATATGCTCAGCTGTTCTCCTGGTTTCTCCGTCAAGCCAGGCGCGGTTGTTTTGAGCTTAGCAGACAGGCGGCCGCAACGAATCACCATGTCTACTGCGGTAAGTGACTATTTTGTTCCAATTTTCCAGTTTGAAAATTTAGCATGTTTTCATACATTATTTGTTATGCATGTGTCTAAATAATAAAAGATTGTAGTTAGCCAAGTTGTCGCCGTAAAGCCAGACCGACTCTCGCGATGCACGAGACTTCTGAGCCTGTGGGTGCGGGCCGAGGGCTCCTGCAATTGCAAGTACGGTATTTCCCCTACAAACCACAAGGGCGGCCGAGAAAACCTTTGCTCGACCTGAAATGACTTATTTAATCATATTAAACGTTATGGAACACATTAATTAACTGAAAAATGTTGCATAGTATGCCTTTAACATGAGAGACAAGTCCTCCGCACGACGTACGTTAGCGGGGCGGAGCGCTGACGGAGGATGTGGAATCTGGGGGAGAATCAAAAAAAGTCATTAGCCAGGTCTCCCTCGAAAAAGAGATTTTATCTCAAGGGACTTCCTGGTAAAATAAAGGTTAAATAAATAAAATAAAATCTGTGCAGCACTTCTTCAGCTGTTGGTTGTGTTTGATCAAATTAATGTGCTAATATGGACAACGTGTTGTTCTTTCTGGTCGTCAGAGAGTTCACCTTGGACATGTCGGTGGAGATGCCCAACGAGATCTCTAGTCTGACCTGCATCACCCACCAAGTCAAAATCAAGGTGGGTTTTTCCTACGCTGATAAACATAACTATATCGTCTGCATATTGTTGCATAGCCTCCTGCAGGTTATGTTTCACGTGCTTAAATTTAGGTTATATTTACTGACTTTTATCCTGATGGACCTGCTCATTTCCATGTGCTTTATTTTATTCAGTATTCATTGTGAACCCTTTCTGTTTTATTCTGTCTATTGTTTGTATTGGGTCATGCAGAGGACTCAGTGTCAGGCTGTGGTCAGTGTGATGCCAGGTCAGCTCATGGGTCCGGATGGTTTCCAGCTCTCGGTTTCTCTCTCTGAGGTTCATCTTCCCAGAATGTGGGTGGAGAAACATCCTGACAAAGACAGCCAGGTCTGTTTGATCCTTTTATGGATATAAAAAGAGTCCCAGTTCTGAACCCTGAGACATTCCACATTTAACGTTGAATCATCCTGTACAAGGCCAACAATATAACACAAGTAAACAAACTTTGTTATCTGCTACAGGCCTGCATGTTGGTTTTCTACCCAGACTTTCAGGTTGACTCCAGTTCTGGAGTCAGTGAAGTAGTCATTTTGCTGGATTCATCGGAGTCCATGAGGGACAAGTCTTTCCATTTGGCCCAGGAAATCGCCCTGCAGGTGTTAAAGAATCTGAAGGACAACATCAGAATCAACATTTTTTTGTTTGGAACAGGTTGGTTTTGATGGGAATAAAAACAGAACAGAAGCTGAACTTGTTTAGCTGACTAAATATTTCACTTTGGTAAAGGAGTTCTTTTAAATGGTCTATATGTCATTCAAAATTAACATGTTTACCTTTTAATTTTGGTATGATGCAACACCTTCATCAAATTCTTGATTCATCATGTCAGAGTAATCCTTGTGAATTTGCTCTGAGAAGCAGCCCCTCCCTGTCATGTAAAGTCGTTGTCCGTCAACGTCCTACATTGAACAGTGATTATATGCCACTCTAGGAAGCACCCAGCTTGCATGCACTGCATCTGCTCTGCAAAGAGGATAATTTCTGTGAAAACCTTAGAGGAATTTGCCCTAATCTGCCCAGTGACAGCAACTGCTTCTTTTTTTAGTCAATGTCTAAGTAAAGCAAGAGGTCTCTGACTTTATTCAGCCTTTCTGAAGAAGAGCCTAAGAGGTGGCGTGATACCACACTTCAGCAACCATCGGGCAAAGTCATGAAATGTTTGGGACCCACACACAGAGATAAACAGCAAACAAAACTTTACTTTTTTTGGTTTGGAAAAAACAAACAAAGACAAAATAACATATTTCATCACACATGATAACTCGGTAAAGCCAAAGACAATATTGACATGTAAAATTCAATTGCATTCCGAGAAAAGACATGTTACTTTCCAAGAACTTGGAAAGTACTTTTATAATAGCTTATATGTTATATTCCAAGATCTTCCACATTACATTCCATGAACGTACATGTCGCACTCCAAGAAAGTACATATTACTTTCCAAGAACCAATGTGGTGCTTTCCAAGAACTTATACGTTACTTTCTAAAAACTAACAACTTCCTTTCCACGGTTTATAAGTTTTACCCCAAGAATTTACAGGCTACATTCTAACGACCAAGAACTAAGGGCTTACTTTCCAAGAACTTAGACATTACTTTCTAAGAACCAACAACTTCCTTTCCAAGCGTTTTTAAGTTGTACCTCAAACATTTACAGGCTACATTCTAACGACCAACATGTTACTCTCTATGAACTTACATCTTTCTTACCAAGAACTAAAGGCTTACTTTCCAAGAACTTAGNCTGAAAATTCCTGTTTTTTTGTTTTTAATTCATGAGATCCTGACCCTGAAATCCCACATCCTCCATTACCGCTCCGATCCGTTCCGTCCCGCTGCGATCCAGACCGCCTGCGCAAAGGAAAGCCTACAGCCTCCGATGTTCCTCCCGTCTTACTCCGCTCCGACTTCCTCGGAGCTCGAGGAGAGCATGTGCGATATTAATATTAAATTCAAAGGAGCAAAAATGCTGTAATGAACGCTTGTAATGAACACACATAGGGCGCACCGCACCAAAGGGCGTGCCGCACATTTTGAGGGAAAAACAGACGTTTATATGCGCCTTATAGTCGTGAAAATACGGTAATTTAATATGACATATTAAAAAAATCTCCATCATCATCCAGCATAGGTTCAGTTTTGCCCAAATATTTTCTTTTCGTTGTAGATTTTTGTAACGGGGATAACTAGGATCATACATGGTTTGTATGAACTATGGTTATTCTCTGCTTCCAAACTCGGCATCTCTTCATCCATGCCTGCGATAAGAAGTTTGCACTCTTGGATGTTGTTGTGACTGAATTTGATTATACTTTTATGCCTCTCAGTATAAAATTAATATTTGTATGTTTAAGTACCAATAGTTTGCATCCAATCATTTAATTAAATGATCTTAGTTTTGGAGAATATATAGGAATTTTTAATAATTTGTAGTCACCGTTCTGTCGTTCCCGTATTTTAATTAGTTAAACCGGATCTTCCCGCCGTTCTTTTTCCTGTTTGGTGCGACTGCAATTACGGATCCTGACCTGGCCGGACCAGAGCGGAGCAAAAAATAGCACGGCTCCGTATTTTGCCGGCGACGGACGGAGAAGACATACGTGGACGGTGACGTACAGAGGAGAAGCGGTGGATGTGGAACAGTTCTCATTGATTAAAGGTATCCTATGCAACCGGTGTTGATATTCCAGCGAGGCTCCCCCCAGAGGGCGAAAGTAAAAGTGCACTGTCGTAAAATATGCTCAGCTGTTCTGCTGGTTTCTCCGTCAAGCCAGGCGCGGTTGTTTTGAGCTTAGCAGACAGGCGAACGCATGAATCACCATGTCTACTGCGGTAAGTGACTATTTTGTTCCAATTTTCGAGTTTGAAAATTTAGCATGTCTTCATACATTATTTGTTATGCATGTGTCTAAATAATAAAAGATTGTAGTTGGCCAAGTTGTCGCCGTAAAGCCAGACCGACTCTCGCGATGCACGAGACTTCTGAGCCTGTGGGTGCGGGCCGAGGGCTCCTGCAATTGCAAGTACGGTATTTCCCCTACAAACCACAAGGGCGGCCGAGAAAACCTTTGCTCGACCTGAAATGACTTATTTAATCATATTAAACGTTATGGAACACATTAATTAACTGAAAAATGTTGCATAGTATGCCTTTAACATGAGAGACAAGTCCTCCGCACGACGTACGTTAGCGGGGCGGAGCGCTGACGGAGGATGTGGAATCTGGGGGAGAATCAAAAAAAGTCATTAGCCAGGTCTCCCTCGAAAAAGAGATTTTATCTCAAGGGACTTCCTGGTAAAATAAAGGTTAAATAAATAAAATAAAATCTGTGCAGCACTTCTTCAGCTGTTGGTTGTGTTTGATCAAATTAATGTGCTAATATGGACAACGTGTTGTTCTTTCTGGTCGTCAGAGAGTTCACCTTGGACATGTCGGTGGAGATGCCCAACGAGATCTCTAGTCTGACCTGCATCACCCACCAAGTCAAAATCAAGGTGGGTTTTTCCTACGCTGATAAACATAACTATAT